TTTTCAATACCGTCTCGTTTCTCCACGGTACGGTACGATACGGTACGGTATTGATACCGCATACCGCGGGTCTCTGGTTCATCACAAGGTACCTTTTGTTTCATCATGAAAGTATACATGAGACTCTGGCCGTGTATCACATTTACTATTAAGAAATCTAACTTTTTTTTCTTTTAATTCCTTGATTAATTATATATATTTTTCAAGTACAACTATCTGATTTTCTCAATTCATCTTTGCAACTATTTTGCATCTTTTTTTAATGAGATCATAAAATTTATATAATACAATTATCAGTCTTTTTCGATATTGTCACATTCTTTCTCCGTACAAATTTCATACCAATTAAATAGTATAATATGGATTATCTAAATAAATCGAACTGAACTAAGAAAAACCCAATGAGAGTCGTCAATTCATTTTCAATGTAATGGTAGCCTGTAAACTTCGGTTTGTCAAAAAAAACACGTTTACTAGGTTTAATTTATTTGTGATTTTGTCGATTACTGTAGTTTATTTCTTCAATGAAAACTATAGTTTGTAATAGTAACTTATGATTAATATGAATCTCTTATATATTCACTTCTTTGTCCCCCATTCTGATAATCAGTAGTGTTTCGTAGACTTTCTCTCTAGTACATTATATAATTTCCGAATAGTCTAGAAAGTAAATGGCATAGAGAATATACAGTTGCTATGCCATCTCTATAAAAAAAACTTGAGTATGCTTGTAAATAAAAATTATTGAATTGCAATCCATTCTATAAATTATTTGGAAAATTTATACTATTAATAAAAAAAACGTTTTCATCATGGGTTTTATGATCAAAAGAATTGATATTGACAAAGAAATTTTGTTTGAACCGAATTAAGTTGTAACAAACAATTGAAAACAAAGAGCAAGTTGAACAGCTTACGTTTTTCAACAATAAAAGCGGTGATACTTTGTATTTTAAAGATTATTAGAAAATTTTCGTGACCAGAAACCGTCTAAATGACAATCAAAATAGCTAAACACTAAAATAATCGATCATATTGAGAATAAACTTGTTCATTGTCTCGAATATTAGATGAAAAGTTATTGTTTAAATTGAATTTTTTTCTAATTAGTTTAAAATATTAGATAATACCAATGAATAGGAAGATTATTGATCGAATTAGTCATTGAAGATTAAGTATTCGAATGGTAAGAAAAACTTTTTTAACGAAAAATATTCTCTTTAAAATATTTTTGTTAATTTTAAAACTATCTTTGAAAATGCTGAATAGATTTTGTCAGCCACGTGATGATACGTTTAATGTTGTACTTATTATTTATTATGTAAATAGTTGCTGATATGTGTAGATTTATGATATAAAATAATGGCATCAGAATTAATCGAATCATATTCAACTATGAAACGCTCTGAAATGTAAATCTTATGAAATCAATTCTATTCACAATAAAATCATAAGGTATGCATCGAATAGATAATATATCATATTTTACGCTTATTGACGAAGAAAACTTTCGAATTATATAAATGTTTAGATGTTTTCTGTCATTCCAAAAAATATCGATGACTTACTTTAATGGTTATAATTGAAATGCTTAGAATGAGATCATTCTACTAATGCATTGCATCTTATTATTAAAAAAATTCTTATTTTGATTTATTTATTTATTTATTGTAAATGACAATTGCAAAAGAATCCTAATTTTTTAATATTTAATTTTAACCGTAGCTATAATTTTAAAACCATCAATATGGGATAAGTAGTATAAGGGTTAAAGCCCTTTTTTTGAATAAATATTTCAATAGAGACTCTATAGCAAAATACCTCAATGTAATCTGATTCAATGCTAAAAGAAAATTTTTATATTTATGTTGATTCTATCGCGCACCACGTTGAGTGCATTTTCAAGGACGTTGTTTCTTTCAGTCGAATGCATGGTGAAAAGTATTACTTTTAAGAGAGAAGTTATGTTACATATGAAAGCAATCGGGAAAATGTAAAATGTAAAAACAACGCTCAACGTGGGATATAATCATTCTATTATTGTCTGTCATACAGAATCCTTTTAATATTCATTGATAATAAAAATAGTAATATATTATTTTTGAACAAATCTTGGTCGAACCCACGACATTGAGATTAAGAGTCTCACGCTCTACTGACTGAGCTAGACGGGCTATGGCTATGCAACTACTTATTGCATAATTGGTCAGAACAGTGACCTTGGTTTACTATAACAAATTTTCCGTATTAAATCGAATTACAAATTTATTTTTGAAGTATTTTAATTACGGATTTCATTGAATCCATAAAACATATTATTCTTAGAAATGAAGAAATTCGAAAAATTCTTGTGATTAATATAATGAATCATTTTTAATAAATTGTTTAATTAAAATTGAATGTATCTTCGATTAGATATCTTTCTCCCGAACAATGATCAATTATGAATACATGAAAAATAAAATTTCTTGTAAAATTGATAAGATTCATTTATGTTTACTGCGAGTCATAAAACACTGTTCTCTTATAAAAATACAAGTCGAAATGATAAAAGTTGTTATTTAATTTTTTTCAGAAAATTCATATTGACTAACTAGATGATGAAGTCCGAAACGAGCGTATATTTTTAGAGACTCACATTATGTTAGAAGCAGGACTAACAACTTTTCTGATTTCAGGAGCTGGGTTTTATAATTTTCTCTTGATTTATAGTGTTGTTTAGTTAACTATTAACGAGATCTTTAACCTCTATTACTAACTCATGCTGTTTTCAATCCATTTGGTGATCGTGTATTTTAATATATAAAAGAAAATGAAAATGTTCATTAGTTCTGAACCACCATTATCAAATGCGGGAGGAAAAGAATTCATTTTTGGAAAATTGGAATATGAAAAAATTTCTTCAAGATATTCCAGTTTCAATAAGAAACTAATTCAATATATTGGTGTATCTGTTGAAAAACATTAACGTGATCAATACACACATGTTATCCTACATGCAAACATTGATGAAAAATATGTCGTCAAAATTTTTCATTTATTTATTAAAATGTATGATGACATGTTCGCAATTTTTTTAGCCAGAATTTAACTCTTTACCTTCAAATATCCACAGACATGGGCATTTGTAGAACTATTGCAAAAATTTAAAAACACTTTTTGTAGTAAACTTCGTGAGCTAGCGATTCGTAAAAAGAAGGTTTCGCTTTGTCGTCTCATCTTCAGAGTATAAACCTTTTAAAATCGACAATTTTAAAAAAATTGAACTTTTTTAAAGAAAATTTTGTCTCTGTCTACAAGTAAAAAAGATTTCGAAGACGCGTCGACGTGTGTATTTATATCAACGAAAAAGTCTACTAGTGAGTCGAAAAAGTTTCAAAATTTTCAAAATAGCTTGGCGCATACGCAATAGTAAGACACATGATGGACCTGAAAGCTACGGCTGTGTGAAAAGAGGAGAACAGCGAACACCGTAACTATATTTTTTTACACATCTTGACAGATGAGAAGTTGAAATAATATTTGTCATGAATTTAATGTCTTCAATGACTATTTTATTACATAATGATAGACAGGTGTTTTTGTTTTTGAAAATATGCGCCAAAAATACATCTGCTTTTTTTAAAAATAGTTTCATGCATCAGTCGCTTCTTTTTTAATATAAATCAAACGAAACGGAATAGATTCCATTTTAACCTACTCAACACTATTATAAAAGAGAAAAACAGTAGGGTGAATCCATATGGCTTCTACCACTTTATACAAAACCGTTTACGCAAGCTACGCGACACACCTAGCCATATGTAGTTTGGGGCGCTGATTCCAATGGTGAAAACCGCAGGTCTCTATCTTTTTCGAAAAAAACGTTATTCGCCAAATACTCTCCCAGCAAAAACAAGGTTTTTCCTTCATTTCCCAGCAAAAATTACGTTTTTGAAAAGCCTCCTCTGGGCAGAGGCTGCGTCGTAGAACCTTGATTTTAGTTTCAAATGAAAGAGCATAACGAGTTCTATACGATTCACTAGAAAAATTTCATGCCGGTTCACATTGTCTAGGTGAAAAGCTTCTGGAGAACCAGAAGGTTTTCAAGGTATTTTCTCNGCTCTATACGATTCACTAGAAAAATTTCATGCCGGTTCACATTGTCTAGGTGAAAAGCTTCTGGAGAACCAGAAGGTTTTCAAGGTATTTTCTCTGATAAGCACGTAGCGAAAGTGATGAAAATCACTTTCAATACGTTTTTTGATGCGCGCTATTAATATATGCTACTTAGACACTTCAGGGAGAATATTCTTCTGGGGTTTCTAGAAAACCAATCAGGCTTTTGGAAGGTTTCGGGCGTTGCGGTGGTTTTTACGGTTATATATGAAGAGCATGCTTTCAGATGTTTTCTGGCATGGTGACTCAGCACTAAGAGAGCATGATCCGCTATTGCCGCTGAGGACATGGCACTGATAGCACAGGTAAAGCTGGCAATGTTTGACGCATTGTTTTTCATTGTTTATTCAACTGTGGAACATTTTGCTGTGTTGAACAGAAAAGTTTCCATATTAAATATAATTTGGAAACATTGTTACACACCATAGTAAGAACCGGTTAAATATTCAATGAAAAAAGTGCTTATAGGAAAAATAAAGTCTAAGTTATTAAAAATTTTCACTTGTTTGGACGTTTTGTTTTGGTCTTACTAATTTTCACTGTTTCGATCATCTTAAACTCTTGAAAATCTGTTGCTGATGAGACCAGTTTGCACGAAATTGTATTCTCATCCATTGGCAAAAAATGGTGAAATTCTCTAATTCCTTGAATTGGACTTTTAACGTCTGGTAACTGGTTCCAACGATGTTTTAAGCTTGATTCGAAAGTTTTTTCTATGCCTTGGGCACTAGCATACTCTATTTCGATGGATGCTGATAAAACTGGTGAAGCAGCTAAAAGAAGAGTACAAGACAAGATTTAGATTAAATATTTTCGCATTTTTGAAGGGAAGTTGTGGTACCTGTTGTTTGGGATTGTTTTGAAAACTTTTTCTTGCTGAATTCATAGAATTCAACTGGAGTTAAAAGTGCATTTTCAGGACCATCACCTCTCATGATGTGCTTATAAGCAGCCGCCTTCACACAACTTCCTAGGCCATCACACGGTCCTTTTCCATGTGACGTAGAATAAAAGAGCCATTGAGCATGAAGTCCGAAATCTTTGTGGTGCAGACATAAGTTAAGCATGGAATACTTATTTTTAAAGTGCTGACCGGCACCGTCGCTAAGATATATTATGGTTTTCACGTTTGGAAAGTGTTGCTTTATCAAATTTATAATTAAAGTTTGGCAGTGATACACACATTTGGTATCATGAGACGAAGCATCAGAGATGATCCTGTAATGAAACCAAAATATGGTATATTCGTACTCCAGTTATTAAGATATAAATGATAAAAACTCACACTAAGTTTTTTGAATCGTCTTTTGTTTTTATATGAACAGTTATAATACTTGACTGTTTTTGTGACCAGTAGTTGGTCTGAATGTCTCGTTGAATACTTAGCGTCATATTTTCAGCAAAGTCCAACTGCACTATTGCTTCCTGTGAAGAAACATTTGCCTTTAGTTCTTTGATAAATTTGAACTGTTCAGTGGTTGTTTAGCAGTGACTGATGTACTTTGACCACTGTGAATCAAACTCTTCTAACAAGGACATGATTGTACCATTGATTCGTTTCAGTTCTACGCCAGACTTTTCCCCTTTCTGCCACTGCATATAATCAACATCGTCGTGGACGTTAAGACTTTTGTATTTGTCAATTATAGCCACAGACGGGAGTGTGTTACAACAATCTTGACAATTACGATGCATGCATCCCATTTTTGAGTCATCACAGACTACCAGATTGACAATATCAACTGATTTCATCGGAACTTCGGCGGCGTCTGAAAGTGCCTACATAAATAAAAATGCCATGCATAAGCTTACGACCGCTTTTACTAATTAAAAAGCATACCTTTGTTAATAAGGTATAATTTTCATGATACAGACAGTGGCAAGACGAGTGTTCGACTGTGAATTTAACCCATTTGGGGCGTAAACTGTAATAACTTGATCTACCAACAAAAACAGCTTGATGCTCTTCTTTGAATTGCTCAAAGCATTCATTAATTGACATTAAAAGATGACGGCATGGAACAGATACTTTAGTACCATCAGGCTGTCTTATATTTATCACGTCTTTGCAGTTGGGGCTTTGACGGCTAATGAAATCACTACAGTAATGAGCGATAACTTTTTCAATCACATCCTGTGGCAATCCTTGTCTTCTTCTATTATCTTTAATAATTGGAAGGATACCAAACTCTTTTCGAACCACGATGGACTGACGAGCTTGATATTGTGTACAACCGAATTCTTTTTCAATTCGTTTTCGCCCCCTATAGAGGAAACAGAAATCTTGAACATTAATTCTGCGAAACACTTATCGAAGTACTCTCTTACCATGTATCAGGTACGATTGTAAGCAATCTTATGGTTTCCATTGGTGTGCTATCCACCAACAATCTTTTAAGACCCGTAATAAGAATGTCTTTATCCTCTACGGATAAATCGGTGTTTTCCAGCGGTTGAGACTCATCTGACAATGAACTGGAACTCAAGTTCTGAATTTTTTCAATTACATTTGAAGATTTTCGACGTATAGTTCGGGTTTCACGTCTAGAGGGAGACAGAGTTAAACATCGTGAATTACAGTAAAAGACGTTAATGTGTGACATGAGCGTGGTACTTACACATCTTTGATTGGAGAAATGTTGAATAAGTCAAAAGCTTTATTCAATGTTTCTTTGTCAAAATGTCGCTCAATAATGTCATCATTTGTACTGGAATCAGTTTCAACATAAACATCTTCAGGATCACTATGGTTGTCTGCGATGACAATATTTGCTAAATTAAAATTCGATATTTAGAAAGACTATTAAAGTTAACTAGTTTTAGATAAACTTGCCAATTACTGTTTCTGGCTTTATTATAACTTTTTTCTTATATGTATTCTTGTTTAGCACTCTTTGGTTTTCATAGGCATGACAGTGTCGACATAAAAGATCGTCCTCAGCATAGAACCGGATTTTAAATCGTTTCATCTTTTTGAAATAGTGTTTATTGATTGACGTAGCCAGAGCTTTTGATATCTTCCTATCTGCCACCGGCGATAATTTTACTTTAGACTTAGAGTTGCATGCGTGACGCGTGGGATGACGACATCGTTGTGATACATGGCTTGTCATGTTCCCGCGAATGGATCTGAAAATTAAAAATAAAAAGCAAAATTTACAACCACCTGGAAAAGGAGCAAAAATTCAAGTCTCAAAAACACCCGAAACCTTCCAAAAACCTGATTGGTTTTCTAGAAACCCCAGAAGAATATTCTCCCTGAAGTGTCTAAGTAGCATATATTAATAGCGTGCATCAAAAAACGTATTGGAAGTGATTTTCATCCCTTTCGATACGTGCTTATCAGAGAAAATACCTTGAAAACCTTCTGGTTCTCCAGAAGCTTTTCACCTAGACAATGTGAACCGGCATGAAATTTTTCTAGTGAATCGTATAGAACTCGTTATGCTCTTTCATTTGAAACTAAAAGCAAGGTTCTACGACGCAGCCTCTGCCCAGAGGAGGCTTTTCAAAAACGTAATTTTTGCTGGGAAATGAAGGAAAAACCTTGTTTTTGCTGGGAGAGTATTTGGCGAATAACTTTTTTTTCAAAAGAGATAGAGACCTGCGGTTTTCACCATTGGAATCAGCGCCCCAAACTACATATGGCTAGGTGTGTCGCGTAGCGTGCGTAAACGGTTTTGTATAAAGTGGTAGAAGCCATATGGATTCACCCTTCTGTTAAAACAATTCGGTGCATTTTTCAGAGCGATGTTTAATTTTACTTCGTCGTGTTATAATTACTTTCAACTTATTAAAATTTTTTCAACCAGAAAATTATTTGGTTTGACAAACCTACACTGCCTAATCATGAGTTTCCGACTGAATAGGTAACTGGCGTATATCATTTTGCTAAATTGTGGGACGTTATCAGTCCTGTATAAATACGTAAGTGCTCCAACAGTGAGAACAATTTAAAAATTTGTTTTGCGTTTCTATTTACATCCTTGTTTTCTACAAAAACATACTGGTTCCGCGTTTTATTCATATAACAAATCATTATAATGTCGCCGATTACAATCAACGCACTCACTCCTGTTGTTTTACTCATTGCATTGTTTCTTGTCCGTTCATCGTATGCTGAACAATATCGTTCTCCATCTGCAAACGATAACTGTACTGTAACATATGGTAAACGTTTATTACAAGAAGGTAACCAAGTCTCAATCAATCGAAAATTATATAAGGTGGAATATTGCCAACTTCAACGAGCATATCAGGCGTGTGGTCCTCATTTATGGTACATTATTAGCATAGTTTGTGAAGCTATAGATCTACCAAACGGCAAAGCTAATGCTATGGCACGTATCCGAAAATTTACCGAAGAAAAATTGCTTTCTGATGCTTGTTGTATAACTGCATGTACTATTTCCGAAATGAGCCGATATTGTCCTGAGTTAAACTAATAAAATATGATTTTATATACGTTGATGAATGATATTGTATAATTAACATTGAAAACTAATAAACAAATGTTTCAATCACATTCTTTTTTTTCCTGTATTTATCCTTTTCAGAGACCGAAACCGATGACAAAAGTGCCATTCGATTCGATTCGGCTTTTTAGAACTGTAATTCGATTCGATTCGGGTTTTCTGGTCTTTTTAAAATTGTAATTCGATTCGATTAGTCTTTTTTTTCAATTATTTTTTTATTCATTCGATTCGATTCGGTAGTTTTGAAGTTCCATTCGGAATCGAATCGAATCGAATTATTCGGCAATTCGATTCGATTTCGGTCTCTGATCCTTTTACGCTTGTTTAATTTATCAGTCATGGCTAAAAGTCGAGATTCGCAACTCTGTATAAGCGTTTGTTTCGTTTTGAACATTTTTGAATAAATATTCATATTTTGTATATGTATGCATATGAGAAACGACAGTTTGATCTAAGAAGAAAATAGATAAAATACTCTTTTTTCTTTACTATTATTGAAAGTCATATATTAGGTAGTTGAATATGCTTCAAGGCAACATGACATGTATGAATAAATTAAGGAGGTTTTTTTTTAAATTTTTGCCTAAAAGAAATCATGCAAAATAAAACCTACTAATTGATATTGATAATTACGTAAGTGTAAATAAAACATTTTTTTAAAACTTAACATTTATACAGACATGCGTGAAGTAAAACTCTTCGTATAAAAACACTTTTATTTTACTTTCATTAAGAATGCACCAATTTAATTTTAGGTATAAGAAAGAAGGAAAGAAAAGCATGACTAAAAGTGAAACTTCATCGTTCGAGTGGGAAACCTAGATTCAGGTTATTACTGAATCTTTACGGTTTTAATATTTTGAATTCGTAATGTTTAAAAGTGTTCGGTAGAAAAGTTTCTAACTATTTAGAAAAACGAAACTAAAATAGTTGAGAAGCTCATAAAATATCTAAACAGGTATCTAATTAACAACTGCCTACTAAGATCATAGAAGATTTAACAAAGCACTACCAATTCGAATCTTATGCTGAAGTCTGATTCACTTTACTTTTATTGAGAAACTTTTATTTTTAGAAGTGCGCATATATCCATTGTATCGTAATAATATCTATCGTGTAAAATATCCCCAATGTATAATCTTCAAATTGTATCATTAATGATTTTAGATTCGGCAGTTTTTCTTATATTTTAAATGCACAATATAAGACTCGTGCAGCAAAGAACAAGAAATGAATCAATTCATGGGTGAAAATTCTCTACTTATTATTAAGTAATTAATTTAGCTGTTCTTACACAACGAGCACTTGTATTAGATTGATGTACTAGTAAGTTTAAAAAAACTCAGCATCGATAGCAATCCAATTATCAACAATACTTACCAACCAATCAAGATGAATTGTACAATCAAATATTTATTTTAATTGATATTTTGATGTAGAACAGCTATTATTAACGGAAGGCAATTTGATTCTCGTGAGAAATAAATTTAGAAAATGAAATTTTCAAAAGAATATGGTAAAACGAAGAGAAACCGATCGACCTTTTATATCAAATGGAGTGCAATCATATGGAAACAACTATTCATGTTGTTGCAATCAAAAAATAGATTTACAATTAACTCAAACTCAAGAAGATGAGACACACAAAGACATTGATAAAAGACTGAAACGATTAAGAGTAAAACTGTAAGAAAGAAATATATTCGTCCAATAGAGTATTTCATCATAATTACATAACTGTAATATGGCTCTGCATGAGATGGGACTGTCCCATCCTACATGGAGCTCTGAGGTATAATGCAAGAATAAAGATCATACAAAGTACGGACATCTACACGGTAGGAAACTTCAAATAAATCAATTGATATTTCAATTGCTAATAGATATTGTTCAATTGCCCTATAAATCTGAAATAAAAAGTACTTGTTATCATATGAAGTGTTGTTGAATGAAAAATATGCGTTTGGTTATTACTGATCACTAATACAACCGAACGAAATCACTCAAAACAAGTATGAAACTATAGATTTTCTAGATTGCACCGATGTTAATTACATAAATATGAATTAGATGTAAAAACGAAGCACCAGATATTTTCGAAAAAAATGTTTTAATGTTACAGTAATAGATTTTCTGATGACTAATATAACCTAAGATGATTTATGAAGTTCTTTATTTCTATAAGACAGTTTGAAGCACAATTTGGATCAAAAATTTGAATCTCTTATAGTATGAACTTACGGACCTAAATCTAGTGAATGAAGCCATGAAACTCGACAATATAATGTACCGCAGAATATGATATTAATGCGACAGAATAGGTGCCATTTTGAGTTGTTTACAGTGTTGTATACGACATCTTGCGCGAATCATAATTTGCCTCATTAAGGAAAAAAACAAATATGCACACCTTTATTTGATTTGACAATGACATATCTAAATATAGGAACAAGAAAAACATGACAATATCTAACATAATTTCGTCCGATTGTTAGGAATCCTCTGTGGGGTGTGAGCTCGAGCTTTTTCTATGAAGGAATGAGAGAACATATTTTATGCTAACCATGAGACATTCGATTCAATACGAAAGATTTTATAATTCATTTTTATTATCAAAATTTCATCAAAATGTATGAAAGAATACCACAATAAATTATTTTTCTAATTATTTATTTTTGTGAAAACTATCGAGATGCTTTTTATTTTTCTTTACAAAAATAACGCAATAAAGTATTTTTATATCTTCAAACATTAAATCGATTTTTCTACTCCTTCATAATAAAATTATATTGAATTCATTTGAGATATCTTTCTGAAAACATATGAATTCGACTTTTATTTATTTCTAATACGAATGTGCCACATTTGAAACAAGTCAATATGTTTATTCTTCTGAAATCTTAGCAATTCATACTCTAAGCTTGATTTCGACAATGTAAATAAACATCACTGTATATTTATTTTCAACTTTCAAGAGATTTCAGAATATTATTTTATTACAGTTATTTTCGTTGCATGAATCGAATACATTCCAACATATAAGCTGTTGAAAATGTTAATAAAATACAACTAAGATCTATTTTATTTCAGATTTTATTTTATTTTTCAGTATGCAACTATTGGTACTGATATATTCTTTACTTTTACTGAAAACAGAGTTAGTCAAAGGTACTGTAGTTCATACATATGATCTTGCTACACAAATACCTTCACGCTTTGTCTGTATGTTTTCTGTCAGCTGGTTTGGTTTAGATCGATCAGATCCGCAAGGAGCAGGAACAGATGCTTCTTCAGGTCATTGGAATGTTGGTAGTCAAGGTGCATGTGTTGCTGCAGCTCAACCGGATCAATGTGGCTCGGATGGACAAAGAGAAATATCATCCAATTATCGGCCACTTGCCGGTATTTATTCATCTAGTGGGCTAGATAACGAAAGTCTTGCTCGCATTGATCTTATGTTAACATTATTGATAAAAGAAGGCCAATGCGATCATGGTCATGCACAATTAAATGCATGGTCTATTCAACTTGAATCTATTCAACTTTCATCACGATATATAGTAGATCCATCGGTTAATGTTGAAATTCCTTATCAAGCATATTTAAATTTTCGTCAACAATCACAAATTTTAAAATTTCCGTCGGGTGTTATTATACCTGGTTATGATAGTACTTGGTTATATTCATTTTCCAATTCTTTAGGTTTTGGCCTTTGTGATAACTCAAACTCGAGTAATCCTCGTGATGCTTGTTTAAATTCAACTATTGCAGATTTTATCGATATTATCTCTGATATTTCTCTGAATTCAAATTATCTTATCAATGGAAAACCTCTTATTTTTATTTATACATCTATAGGAGGAAATCTACTCACTGCCAATGAGTGGTCATATGTCTGGTCCAATGTTCGTCAACGTGTTACACTTGATTTTTATACAATTTGTACGACTCCAAGTCTGTTAAGTATGTTCGATGGTGTTGCCCCTTGGATAGATTTAGTAGCTTGGTCAATGACAAACAGTGCTCTTCCTTTGTACAATCGAACATTGTCATGGTTAAACTTAGTGTATGATCCTATCCTCTCTTCGAATATTTCATCAGGACGCATCATTATGGGAGGTTTAACTCCTGGTTTTGATGATTTTACGCAATCATGGGGCGCTTGCCAACCGCGAAATATTCCTCGTCATCCTGATTTGATGCGTGCTCAACTGGATTATTTTTCGTCAAATTCTATTCAACATTTATTTATTTATACTTGGGACGATTGGACTGAAGGTAGTCAGTGTGAGCCTGATGTAACGAATGGAACACAGATTTTACTTTTGTTACGACAATCTATTACTTCTTTCTATGGGGCAACACAAAATACAAAAGGTGATACAATGCTAAATTCCAGATGGGTAAATTATCCTCAATTGAGAAATTGTACTGCTATTAATGTAACATCCATACCTTCCGTCGATATGTCATGTCCAACAACAAATTGCGCTAATTATCTTTATTCATATTCAACAATGATCTTATTGTTAAGTTGTCAAACTATCTTTAAGATACCATATGGAGCATGAAACGTATATTTAATATCTGATCCTACATTCCAGTTGAGATCAGAAAAAAATTGGATTCTAGTTATTTAATAACACCTAAATATGTGTGTATAACAGTGATTACTATTTTTCGCTAATAAAAAGTTAACTGTGTGAAAAACTTGATCGGTTATTTCGCTTCATTTGATATAAAGTACATATCAATGAATGAGACATTATCATATGATTGAATTCCATCGAACGAACTAGGTTTTGCAATTATAATTATCATCATCATGAAGTTCAGCTGTTTGTTGTGGAATAAATATAACAACAGTACTTTGCTTTTAAAAAAAAAATACTCATGTTAACTTATTCAGTTCATTTGAGGATAATCGGAGATGTATGTATACTGTCGCGTCGGGACTAGAGCCCATCAGACTCTGATATGAAAATTTTTACTGAACTGATTTAAATCGGAAGAAAAATGTGATCAAATCAACAAATGTATCATGTATTTCTTTAGACTTTCATTTCCCATACATATATTTTTCTATCAGAAATGCTTGGCTACCAGTTAGAATTGACAGTTATTCAATTGATACGGTACGACTGTCAGATCGTTTAAAGAATCTTTTGAGTATATGCTATTCAACAATCAGAAAGCACTAAAAAATATATCTTATCTGTGGTATGACAATCAGATTCGAATAGAAGCTTCTTTTGAGAGCTCTACCAATACGTTTAGAGTCTGGAGAAACAATGAATTAATGAATTACCTTCGGATTCTAGAAATTTGTCGTGAATGTGACGTGCGAGTGTTTATAATAAACAAATATATTTTCATAATATTCAGGCAAATAATTATCGCCATTGAACTTAAATTTCAATGCAGTTACACGGGCTAATATTCGAAGATAATCGAAGTCAGCTGCATCGATTTGATTAATCAATGATATAAGATCGAATTCAGAATTATATAATAATGTATAATCACTATGCCAATAAATGTCTTTTAGAATGCTATAATTACAATTATGGCAGCCAATAAGATGACGTGTACCATCACAATATTTATTTGAAAATAATAGGCGATACTATAAATCATCCTATACTATTCAAATGTCAAAGTTTGAAAAGTATCTTTAATGGTAGAAAATGGCGTGACTATACTAATTTCATATGAAGTTTTTTTTTATAATCGAAGCTCATATATGATAATAACATTTATTGCAATGATTTGTATTTCTTTGCGCATAAACTCAGGATTATTGAGTGTGCACATGTATACATTTCTGCCAGATAACAATATTATCGTTATAAGTAGTTGTGTTACGGTAACTCTGTAGTTTGTGCTCATACAGGACAAAAAATTCACGGACAACAACGAGAGTATCATTCATCTATACTTGTAAAATAGCCAAAACTTATATAATTTAGTAGAAAAAGATTTTAGTTTCCAACATGTAATTAGGATACAATTAGGGGTGGCACTGTAACTTTAAAATACTTTAAGAAAGTAGAAGCAATGGCAGAATTTTATCTTGCATCAAACATATTTTCTACGATGGGTATTACAAGAAGGCGAGTTTAAATACATATAAAACAGCTCTTGCAACTTTATGAGTGTGTGGACGGGTCAGGGTGGACGCTGCTGAGGGTGTGTGGGTGTTCATGTTAACTTCATCCGCATCCACACCCGCACACCCATTTTTCATAGAAACAAGTAACTGATTTGACATTTTGGATTTAACAATGGCTTGACTAGACTTATTATTTAAAATAATAAAATTGATAAAGAAAATTTTTCCCCGTGCTGTAGGCTGGTCCTCTCGCGGACTCTATTTTAATGGCTTAAAAATCTAATAATTTAATGGATATAACAACTTGAAAATTGATTAAAAATTAGCGTTTAAAAATTTATTAATTCAAAGAATTTAGTTCTTTAATTAATCATACATTTAAAGAATCTAGTGACTTATATATTTTTTTTATTAATCCATATAAAAATTCTCTGTAAAAAAAGTACATAGAAAAATCTAGTAGTTAATTGGTAGAGGCAATTTTTCATTAAGCCAACTACCACATTTCCGAGTTCCCACCATATATATATATAGCCAAAGTCAAGTACTTATACTGGAATAATATTCAATTTACAAATTGTAGTAGTAAATGGAGATTAAGTCTTCACAGAACTTTAATTATATATCAATTCGATACAATAAATACTTAATATACACGAAATAGACCTCCAATGACTCATCGACCAGTTAGTATAAAACAAAACTAAATGTTTTCTAACTAAAATACCGTTAGTCACATTCTTCGTTTTTTGCTAAAAAATGACATGTTGCTTTCCTCCTTTTTTTCAATTCGTTTCATATCCGTTCATTCAATTTTGTTTTATCCTCGTTTTTATTATATATTTCAATTTTGGTTTATTCCACTTCATTTTTATTTTGTTAATTTTTATTTTGTATGCAGAACTTATAATTGATTATTGAAAATCAAGAGTCGAGACTAGCAGATTGAACTTGTCTTTTCTTTAAGAGATAGACTAGTCTGTTTTTCAATTGATTTACAACCAAATTAGGAAACCATTTGAAAAGTCCCTTGACCAAGGACGAAACATTTCATGGCAGTTTGTCTCACCCTCACCCTCAATATAGTAATACTCCATCCATTTAATCCGCATTGAGACGGAGAGGAATTTCGTCCTTGTATTTCTCGTCACAGGTTTCTAATCACACATCATGTTTTATTCCTTCTGTATCAAATCTTACTTTAAAATTAAAAGAAGCAAATTTGAAAATATTTGATGACAACATAATTTAGCTCTTTATTATACTACTATACGGCAATACAAGAATTTTATTTTCATCTACTTTAAACAGCACGTAAGGACAGCCAGAATAATAAGAGTAATAGAAACACCAAACAAGATAATACCAGAAACAAGGCGGCCATTGTCACCACCATTGCCGAGCCCTGCAGCACCACTGAGAGTAAGAACAATAGCAGGGATAAGACAAAGAAAACCAACTATGGCACTAATAATAGTAAAACGACCGGAATAACCGCCGCCACCACCGCGAAGCTTATCCATCTTCTTTGGCGTTGGCTGAAGTTTATTGTATGATACAATAGATTGTGTACGTTCTGAATGATAATAAACAATTGTTTAGGTCATTTGAATTAAACAAGTACATTTCATGTTCCAGTAATCAAGTGAGAATGCGAAAGTGTTGATCATATAGAGAAAAGCTCAAGTGTAATAGTGGGAAAACCCACGCGAACAATAGATTGTAAAACTTGTTACTCACGTATATAAACTGTACGTATAAGAATTTTACATTTTGATTCGTAGTGTTTAAGATAAAAGTAAGCACCTTTTCGAATGAGAAATAAGTTTCATAACTTCATCAGCTATTATGTTTCTCCTGATAGGAAGAGAAAAATAGTATAGTTGGTTATGATTTCCTTAGTTAGTATTGTTTGTTTAGACTCTTGAATTATAGTCTCTTTTGTTGAAATGTATCGCAAAGTATCTCTCGTAATATCAGTATGATTACAGTGATAAAACGAGTTCGAAAGGGGGCTCTGTTGTAATCCTAAACGACACTACGGATCGACTCATAGGACTAAAATTTTATCTGCAAAAGTTACTTGTATTCAGATTATAAAATTTCACAAATTCGACATGAAATCTTATGATGGTATTTTCTCACAATTAATCTGATATTCCGATCATGTAGGACAAGTGTTTCTCATAGATAGTCTAATCCGGCAACCCTTCATATCGACATTGATAAGGGTGACGATATTATGATGATCCGATTAATATAATGAAATATCATTTACAGTTGATAAACGAGAAAAGTTTGTTACAATGCTATTATTATGCTAAGAATAAAGAATCTCTGATGAGTTGAAATTTTCGATTGTATTTACTTCTACAGTTTTTCTCTTCTGTATTAATTCATTCGATTCTTTTCCTTTCGACCTTTCTATGGCAAAATTCATGCAGTGTGATGCTCTCTGGTCATGTTTTTATGATATCCTTACGTTTCAAGTTTAACATATATGCAAGAGGGAACAAACTGATTTCCACGCATAGAAATCATCACACATTAAAGATGTGAATAACGACTCAGTTGTTAGAACCTACAAGAAACAAATGTAAATAAATGTAAATCACAGAAATTCTAGAACTATATAGTGAAAGAAAATATTGATTTCTCATAATTTTTCAACATTTCTAAACGTTTCCAATGATTTCTGCTGGTTTGCAATGATCAAATAAAAACTTATTTCCAGCAATAGAAATCAAATAAATCATGGAAACCAGTTTGCTCCCCCTTGCATATATATGCTGATAAAATAATTAACTTGGTAAAAAAAAGAAAACGTAGAAAAATAAAATGATGAAAAATAAATGAAGACTTTAGAGAAATCTTCAAGAAAAAGTACCATCCGACTTTGTGGGTAAGTGATTTTCTTCGAAGATATTTTGCATAATCTTTGCCAAAACAGACGGTTGTTTTTTATGGTCATCACAACTGATAATCAAATAGTTTTATTAATGAACAAATTATTACTTTTCTTTCGAGAAAAGTTGATTTTTAGACATCGCTCTCTGTTTGGATCATTAGTTTGTGAAAAAAGCGCACCTTCTGACAGGCGTACAATACTTGATGATTGAAAAAGAAGCCCTACAAATTCTTTATATCTTACTTTTCATCTTGAGTTTGTTTCACAAATCAATAGGACTAGAAACATAAGAAAAGATATTATTACATGAATATGCAAGTGGATTGAGTGATAAAAGATACTGAAAAACTCGAAAAATGATTCTAACAATGAAAGCTAGGCTTCTGTTCAAAATTCAAACACTCACCTTCGTCTATTCACTTTATACAAGAATGCGTTCTTCGTTGAATGAAAAAAATCCAATTTACTCGCTGCCTTCTTATGTAATAGAGTAATGACAAGGCACCTTTTTTCTTCCTGCAAAAGAAAGAAAGAAAGAGTCGTTTCAAGGAAGAAGAAAGCTGCTCGACAGTAATGAACTTTTTTTTGTTCGGTCAACATTCAAATAGAAAAAAAATGTCATACACATTAATATACAATGTGTCGCATGCATGTGTCGTGATGTAACCAGTTCTAAAATGTTCATTCAAAAATCTTCACGAAATGTCCTACACTTTTCGTTCTTCATAATATACTCGTATATTATATACGTAGAGGACATTGTGAAAGCACAAAAATTGGATGAATTGACTAATTTGAATTCGCATATGAATGCCCAATTTAATGGAGTGTGGGTGTGGGTTTCATGGAGGACTAAGAGAAAACACCCACCCATACCCTAGCTCCAACAAGATGAGATAGCTTTGCAGTAAAATTTTTAATACAAAAAATAACGCCTACTTAAGCTTCGTAACGAAGAAAAACAAATTGCATCGAAGGTTACGCCATCTACCATAATAGTTGTTCCGCTCATAATTCTGAAACAATCCAGCGACGCTATGAACCCTACCGACCAGCAAAAGTTTTGTCACAAATTCATAAACTCAAGCTATTCTTACACAAACTATTTCAAGCAAGAGAAATGCATACTTGAAGAGAAATTGATGCCACAAAAAAAGCAAAAAAAATCATTGTTTGATAATAAATATATACATACATTCTTCAGTGAATAGATGATCAGTCTCATATTTCTTCTCTAATTTGAAGTAATGGCAGAAGAAGCTCTTTTCGATCGTGAATAACTCGAAATCCATCACAGTCTTCGTGGATAAGCTACAGTACAAGTATGAAGCGCCAGGGCCACATGATTCGCGTTCACCTTGCCCTGCACTAAATACTCTAGCTAATCATGGCTATTTACCATGAGATGGCAAGAATATTCGAAATGAACTGCTGAAACTCGCCTTACAGGTGCGTTTTCTTGTGATCATCAGCTAAAAACTTTTTTTCGCACAAGAGAAAATGGGATTGAATTGGATAGCTGCCAAAAGCATTATTCGACAAGCGTGCAACGCCGTGGGAACGGTTTACTCTCGCTTTCTGATCTTTCTTATCACGCACTCAACAGTATTGAACACGATGCTTCTCTTAGTTAGGCTCGATGCAGCCCTGTGTAACAATAAGCAGGGCAATTTCCATCAACAACGGTTCAACACATTTTTACCGCTTTCGAAAGATGGAAGATGCTTGACTACGAACGATGTGGCTGCTGCTCGCTTGTATTTCAAAGTAGATAGCAAAACGAACAATCGGCAGTTCTTGTGGAAAAAAAGATTGAGAAAGCTATGTGAACGGAAGCGTCTATTCTTCTAAACATATTGGGCAAACACGGAAATATCAGCATTGAAGATGTCAAATTTTTTTTTTTTGAAGAAGAAATATTTCCTCGTGGTTGGTAGAAGCATTCTTTATTCGATGGGCGCCAACTACACACAATCACGAAAGGCCTTAGAGAAACGTGATGCACAAACAGAAAAAACAAAAACGAATCAATGGGGTGTGAGTGTGTTAAGCTACCATGATATCGTTTTAATAAATTTAATTTTTTAAGCAAACCGAGATCGACACGACGCGTTTCATCCTTTCTGAAGGGACTCATCAGGTATCCTTGGTAGCCTATTATTATATCAAGTAGAAACTCATTCAAAATTCAAAGAAATTCGAAGAAGTTAAAACTGATGGTGTGGGGTGGGTGGCTGGGTATGGGTGTATTATTACGAAACGTCCACATTCACACCCACACCCTCACTCAAACCCTCAAGATGTTCATCGAGGCTGCAAACTTGCTGCTATCGTGATAGTTTCTTTCAAACATCTCTGGTATATACACATACATGTTTAGATTACCGCACAGTTGTCACCATTGCATTCCATATTCAAGACACTAGTTTTTTTTCCATAGCATAAAATTTTAGGAGGATTCTCATCGAAATGAAAATTGTCTTCAAAAAATAAGAAACAATATAATTTGTTTTTCTTCTAAGGACTTCGTATGATTATCAATGCCTCATTGCCTTGTCCTTGATATTAATATTCTATCATTATGGCGTGGATCAATAGATCCATTAATTTAAAAAATCAATCATATTGAAACAATATTTGATACAATTTATATAAAAAGTCTTTTATTATGCTCTAATAATCAACCATATTTAATTGTATTAATAGATTCTATATCAATTTATTTTTATACAAAACAAAATCATGTTGAATTAACATGTGAATTTTCATCAGATGATACGCGTGATTTATTACGCTTTATAGTATTTATATCGAAAATCATTTATACAAATATATATGTCAAAAAACTCTTTTCTTAGTTGGAAAAACTATATTATCAATATTTGAATATCTTTATCAACGGCATGGTTTAATTATATCAAATAAACAAAAAAAATCTATTATTACAATCCTATTTAAATTTAATTCAACTAGATAATTGACCCTTTACATAATTATTACTTTTATTATTTAATAATCTTGATCGTCTTTATTATTTAACAAAAAAATTAAATATACACCATATTTTTATCGATGTGATTTACGTCATATAGCTATGTTATTATTTTGTTTACTAATATTTAATTTATTTTACACGTATACCAAGACAATTTTGGGAAGAACATTATCAGCATATAAATAAATTACAGTTTAGTTTAAATGATTATTGCTTATCATTATTTTCAGTTGATTTATTACCACATTCAGAAATAATACCTGATTATATTGAATGTATATCATTTTGCTGATTGGTTATCAAGAACACAATCTCAAGAAATCTGAGCATCATTTTTAGCTACAATTAATCCACCAAATGAATCCACTGATCAAAATGAACAAACAGCAAATAATTGAACCAAAGAAGAAATTTTAGAAACGAATGCAACACAGCGGTAAAAAGATTCTAAAATAAATTAGATTTTATCTGTTCTTTTTTCCTCTGCACATAGTGTATAGATTCGTGGTGCAACAACATTTTTATTAAATGTACTTCGATTCAATTACACAAGAAATCCAAATCATATGACATTTGAAGATCAATGCCGAAATATATCGACTCTATTTTCATTAACAGATATCGCTGGTCAATATATACAAACACGTTCAACATTAGATACAAGTTCAAATAATTTATTTAAAAATATTGAACGATTAGGTACACGTCATTTATTTATCATATTGACAGCTTTCATATGATACTATATTAACATCGATTCAAAGTAATAACACATTACCATTACTAGTTAATGTAATTAATTTCATTTATGTTTTAATAATTGGCAATTAGAACTTATATTTTTGTCAATATTGAAGATTAAACATAAACGTGAAAAAAATATCGAAGCAATTTTTTATTTTATTATACAGAAGTCCAGCTTAAAAGAAAGACAGATTCCTTGCAAAATTATTGATTTCCTTGAACAGAAAGAATCTATTGTTTCTCTGACTTTGATTTATTTGAACTATAGTCTATGCAAACTATCCCATTTCATATAGATAAAAGATTATATCAATAATTTCAATTACATTTTAATTATTTCTTGTATTCTATTAATAAATTTCTAAAATATGAGGAAAATTTTCTACCAATGAGAAAGTTCGGATATGAAGCTTTCCACCTTTAATTTAACAAAAAAATAATTTAGAGTTTATTTTCTCGTCATGGTCATCGTGTAACATCATTATTACAAATTCTAATCGAATTATATCTTTGTCTTCGATTAAAATATGAATTAATACGTTCATTTCTATATCTTTCTGATTTATTTACATCATCACAACAATTATATGATTTATGTTATAAGTATTTTTGTACATGGTTTGATGAAGACGATGTAATGATATCATTGGTAAGTTATGGTTTATGTAAACCTAATATATTATTTAGACAAAGAACAAAAGAATATAATGAATTATATATACGTTTAATTGAACGTAGTTTAAATACTTCGTTTTCTTTTAAATATAGAACTTTAATGAAAAATAATCCATTTTAAAAGTTCAGAAATATCACATGTTCACGAAATCGAATATATAGAGTGACATACATTTGTCACATCTCGTTTAGTCAGAGTGACGCGGGCGGAAAATATTCATACCAAATATTTCTCTCAATATGGTTGAACTCGAAACGGCATATAAGACATGTCTCTTGATGAGAGTGAAGACGAGATGACATACATAGATTGTCTCTCTCAACGACGCTGGCATTGTAAATATGCTTGACCAATAAAAAATACCTTATCAAGAGACGACAGAAGGTGGCGATACATGCACTTTCTAAAGAGATGCAGTATTTCTTGCATCTTTTATTCCTGGATATATGACATTTCTCAAAAGGCTTATAATTATTTTAGGTGCTGCTATTTTAACGATGATTACAATTGAGAAATTTATTTGAATATAAAAATGACAAGAAGAAAACGGAATTTAATATCATAAAAAAATTTTTCAATAAATGAATTAATCAATCTGAATTCATTAATTAAATTTTGAGACAGAAAAATCCATTAACCCTTTCAGACCCATGACCAGAGGTGCATAATCTACCCGTGTGCGCGTACGGCCGTGTGGGGAAAATTTTGCAAACCTAACCATCGGGGGAAATTTTGGAAAAATATTTTCTCTTCTAAGCGTGCAGGGGCAAGTATTTTTCCAAACGAATCTTGTTTTATTTATATGTGCATTGATCATACGATGCATCTTTCTTCTTTTATTTTATGTAAATTTTGAGAGAATCATCCATTTCTTACTCACGGTTTCAGTATATTCTTGTTTATTTGACGCTGATGATGCGTCGCACTACGGTATCTTTCGCTCTTTCTTGGGCGTAACTATGATGCAAAAACGGCTATTTGTTTTCTCCTCTTTTCGTTTTGTTTTTCCCTAACCGAATGCCACTAGTTGCTGTCTTTTCTCTATAGCTACATGTCGTTGTAATTGTGTACTCCTATACATATACAAGCGCTATGATGACTAATCTACAATCATAGAACAGATGACGCATAATATGATCCTTGTCACTCGCAAATCTTTTCCTTTCACTCATTTTCGTTTCGCTTCCTCTTAGTTTTTAGAATATTTAGCATGTCTGAATAATAGAAATGTATTCTAGTAAATAGCAGGTATCATGTTTTTATTGTGGATGAGTGGGACGAAAAGATTACGTAAACGTACGTTAGAAAAAAAAACACCATAAGGAAATATTTAAATTAATGATTCCTAAAAATAACTTAACCAGATATTATTGTGATAAAGAAACAACTGAAAGTAGCAGAACAATTACCAGTGGTGATTATGAAGATGCTAATAAATTTGAAAAATAACAGCAAGAAAATGTCATTCTATAATCTCCTGGCTTAGCAAAACCCATAAATCAGCACTGCCACTTCACCTTCAATATTAACGTAGAAAAAAACAACAGAGAATCATCATATGCACAAGTGGGTGATGTGATAATGACTGGATTCTATCAAATACTGAGATGATTTCTTGATACTGAGAGGATTAAAAATCAATAATAATTTAGAGACAATCACGATTATGCCTTGTTCTATCTGGAAAAGACAACCACCAAAACATTTATTAGGTGTCATAAAATTTCATGTGAGATTTTTCAACACATTAAACAGAAAGTAAATGAACTTCTATCACCCCGATTTCAAAGTTTAAAAGCTAATGTGGAATTACACTTTTCAAACAAATCACATACTGTATACATGATGTGCACAAGAACAAAATGAAAGACAACAAACATTGAAGATTGTCTTAAAAAGAATGAAAAAGATAGATTGACTGTTTATAGAGTTACTTTGTTTTTTATTCGAAGCAGTTTAGGTGGTGTTAGATTTGTTGATACGCTAAATCTACAAGAGTTATATGAAGCACCTGTTGGTACATATAGATAAATTCAATTTTTTCCTGTAATCTTTACATGAAGTATATAAGTTGCTTCTGTTATATTTAGACAGTCGGTAGGTTTTTGAGAACCTTAGAACGTCAATGACAAGAATTATGAAAGAACAAGTCATAGACTATTGACAATTTTTTTAAGGATATACCTATATCTTAAACGAGAATTCTTTGCTTTATTATTCAATTTTATAGTGGGGGAAATTTCCCGAAAAGAAAATTTCCGTGTGGGGAAATTTTATATTTTTTCGGCAGATACTGCACCCCTGCTCAAAATAAACGACAATATTTTGATATCGGCACTTCGTTCATCAAACTTGCTGCAGATCGATATTTTCTTACTAGAAAAGGCAATAGCAGCAGCTGATATTGTGGTGACAACAAAAATCATCTTTCATAAGTATTAGAAGTCAAGCTATCATATAATTGAAATAGTTTGAGAATTTTTTAGTATTAGTATTAGATTCATAGATTGCTTTCGCTCAGAGCAAAGCTACAATCAATTTTGTTCGTGCAGGTCCTATTCAATCTTCACCTGATCTGTTTTTATTTTTATTGTAGGACGTTACATTTGGATGAATTCCTTCTTTACAATTAATTTTCTTCTTTGTAAGAAAAAATTTCCTTCTCAAAATCCTTCTTTTTATCAAACTCCGCTGCGGGGCCTGTACACTGCAATCCGACTCAAGTTTTCATCCGTTATCTTCCAGCTTTTCTTTTTATTTCATTGTGTGTAAAATTTTATCAAAAAAATATTTTCCACTGAAATGCATTTAGTTACTACTATCTAAAGCATTTCTCTTA